AGAACGAGAACTAAACATGGAGAAGCAGCATTTAGTTCCTATGCTCCACTTATCTGGAACAAACTTCCAGAAAACTGTAAAAGTGCGGAAAGCCTGAGTTCCTTTAAATCAAGACTAAAAACATTAGGATTGCCTTCAACTGTTCTAGTTCAACTGAAACATAATAAGCTGAACTTTTTTACTTTCTTTAGTCCAACTGTTTTTAATATTCTTTTTTGTTTCTACATTTTTTTCCCCCCTACTTGCTTGGATTCTGTTATTTCCTATATTTTAATCATGTAAAGCACTTTGCACTGTCTTTGTACTGAATTGTGCTATACAAATAAATTTGCCTTGCCTTGCTTATGGGGAATGTTTGGACACCACGGCCTCTGATGACTTTCTGACATAATTTGCTTGACATGAAGGCGCCGCCTGCACCTCTAATGTCACCAAACAGAGCCTCTGAGGACGGAGCATCAGGGCCACACTGGGAATCTTTTGTTTCATTACAGAATAAAGTAGTAATAATATGAGGAAAAAAAGTTGTTTTGATAAAATAGATAAAAGCTGCAAAAAAGTAAATCAAGATTAATCAAACTGCTGCATAAGGAAGGAGCTTTTCACAGAATGTAACGTTAGAATCGGCTCTCTGTTCTGGACGCGTTTGGATCTTTGCTCTGCTGCTGCTTAGGCCTCAAAACACTTGGAAAAGAGATAATTTGGTTTTCTGGTAAAATGAAGGTTATATTAATACAAAATAAGAGTTTATACAGTTTAATAAGAAAAAATGAGCGGTTCACATCATGGAAGGCAGACAACTGAACATAGAAGAACATAAACTAGGCGTCATCAGAACCCTCCAGAAACAAGGATGGAAAAGCCTCTGATACATTCTGATCTAAGAAGGAACCCCAACATTGAATAATCCAGATAAAAAAATATTCTCGCTCTTCTCTTCTCCACTGCAGTAAAGAAATTAGTCCACGTTTGCTCATAACAGCAGCTCAGATAACAAACGCTTCCAGCAGAGAAGCGTCCCTGAGTTTCAGGAGTCTAAAAGATGCTGCTTTACTGGTCTGGGAGATTATTGCACTTATTCTCAAAAGATTTAATAATCTAACGTAATCTGACCTTTTTTAGTAAATCAATCTGAAAACAAGATTAAAAAGAGATAATGGATAAACTATTTGTTGGAAAGGTTTTGCAGTTAGGAGAAAAGTTTAGGAACTGGTTTCTTAATTAGCCTTAAAAAACGGACATAAATCGATTAATCTGTTCTTTAGTCATCATTTAAGGTGGAACCTTCATCTGGACAATAATCCCTGACATCTGGGCTGATGGTTGGAGATGTTACCTTTAAATCCACCCACAGATCTGCCTCCTGATCAACAATCACAGCCTTATTTCTAAACTCATTACCAAGATGTCACCAAGCGGCTCCGGCCTGCTGCCTCCTGATTGGCTGGTCCTGGTCGGGTCCATCTCAGGCCTTTTCTTCTGGAATTCAGAGCCACGTCATGGGGAGACGCTTTGCTTTGGACTCCATCTGCTGGCCAGGCGCTCTGCTTTCATGTTTGGATGTTTTTTCAAGTTGCTCCAAGAAGGGAGAGAAATAAAAGCGACGCTGCAGTCAGATGTAAATGAGCAAACACTTCAAAGCAGAGCGAGCGCAGCTGGAGGAATAAAAATCAAACATAATGTCCGACCCGGTCCAGCCGCCCCCAGGTGACACCGCCAGAACCTCAGAGTCGACATCACAGAGAAGCTGCGCTGCTCCTCACCTCCGCCTCTAACAAAACAAACCAAACCAGCGCATGGAGGTGAGATCAGCACCACGGACAGCTCCTGAGCCAGTTTAGATGGCAAACCGAGGCGCAGAGATTTACTCCTCTCTATCCACAGAGTTCTGATCCAACCAACCAGAACCGACTGAGCTGCTGCAGGAGGAAGATGAAGGCAAAAACCTTTGGAACAAAACATCAACTCTGGAAGAAATGAACTACAGCTGGATTTTCCTTCAAAGAAGCAAAGTTTCCCTCATTTTGAGATAAAAAACCAAGATTATAAGTTTATTAAAAAAAACATCTTATTTCAAGCACTTTATATCCAATTAAATAAGATAAAAGTAAAAGGGGAGATCATCTTCTCTGCTCAAATTATGGAAAAATAAATATAGTGTAAAACATTTTTATTTATTTGAAGTCGTAGGAAAAAGACAGAAATCCTGTCTTAAAATCTGTTGTTTTTATTCATTATCTTCTGCAGCCCAGTTAGTTCTACGTCAGCCTGAACACCTAAATTCGGCCAATCATATATCAACGCTCATCTGTCAATGAAATGTTTTCAGTCATAGCATCTTGATTCATATGTTGCAGCTAATATACACAACGGTTGAAATCAGAATCCTTTCCTTTCCCATTGAGTTCCGTCCCAGTGTTCACGGGGATGGACGTCTGTGTCTTCAGCAGGCGTAGAGCTAACAGAACTGGCAGC